CCCCCCCCCACTTTTTCCTCAAACCGAGAAAAAGCTTCTTCCCTTATCTACCGCCCCGCTCCATCTTTATTTCCCATGCGTTCATTTAATACAGTTTTTTTCTTCTTTATTTGAAGAAAAAATATCCCCTTCTGGGAATCCACCAGCTGTAAAATTCAATTCATTATTTGAAATTTTATCCTCTTCATTAATTTCCTGTTTTGGAAAATTGAGTGAAGTTGAGTGAAAAGGAATTGTCAACCTATTGTTACCATTAGTCCAATACGTTTTTATTGCCTACACTGAGAGAAAAACCACGAAGTTCTCAAACAAGTCTTACTTGTGTCAAGAAAATATTTTTTGAAAATTATCAAAAAAGGATTTTTTTGTGCCCAACATGCAGAGTGCGCCGGAATGAAAAATTTTTGTCGCTAAAATAGATTTAGTAATTGAAAAAAAATTGCGTTCTCTGTACACGCAAGAAATGTCATTTCTAGCACTACTCCTTTGTTACTTGATACTCCCATACGTATTTTGCTCCCGAAAAATCTTTGTTTTATGGGAAACAAGGGATAGTAGTTTTTCATTTCGGCTGTCTACTAATCACAGACAAGAAATAAACCCTTAAATGAAACAATAATAATGATATGATAGCAATCTTGTAACTTGGGGATAAAATATTTGTTGATAAATTTTCCTCCGAGATATTTTCATCATGAAAAGGCACCGTCTGGTGTGAATTATCCGCCTCTTGAGCCAAATATTTCGTTGCTGTCGAAAGCAGAACAATTATTCATGTTTGAGACTTTCAAATTCGAACCAAACAAATTCTTTTTTGGCTATTTTCAACTAACGATTTTGTTGGCCCAAACAAGACTTGTTTGATAACGTGTTTATTTTTCTCTCAGTGTAGTGTGTCACCTGCAATTGCTAGGAAATTGTTCCAGTGAAGGGAATGCCCCACCAACGAGGGTGCAAAATGTCCCTAGAAATTATGCTAATATGAATGACAAATGGAATCGTCGAATTTGTGAAAGAAGAGAAAATCAATTTTCCACTGAAAGTGGTAGAGCGTAACGAGGGCAGGGAATACCATTGACTTCCAGCCCCAACCTATCCGCCACTTTTAGCGAGATAATGAACTCATCTGGTACAATCTGTATTCATGTGCAGGTGACATTTTATCGTACCAAAAAAGGCATTATATTATAAGTACATCGATTTAAAAGTTGAGAACGAAATGAGAGACGCCAAAAAAAACAAATTAATTACAAAAATTCCCCATCAATTTCTTTGCACAATTGAATAAAAATGAAGCATATATTGACAATTTTTTTAAGGCACACCACCGCACATGGAACTTCAATAATACTATCAAATTATCAAGTGACGATATTCCGAAAAAACTCATAAATTGATTAATCGGTATTCAACCGAATTTTAATAAAATGCTTTTTGACAACATTCCTTTATTCATCCAAAAGAAACTTGATGTCATGCAGTCTCGATATGTACGTACGCATTGTAAAAAGATTTAATTGAATTTTTTGCGAGGTTCGAGAGAAAAAAAGTATCATGCTTTGTTATATGCGGTAGTTGGTCTTTTATTTTGTAAGAGAGCCCACCGTAGCATCAGGTTCCAAATCGAAATAGGTAGAGCTTCGAGTGACATTGGACAAGGGTTTCGCTCACCAACCTCCATATGACCCACATATGACTCCCATCATCCTTATTCTGACCCTTGTGATCTTTAATGTGACCCTCATATCCCTTATTCTAACTCTCGTGACCCTTATAACCCTTATGATAACCCTTATGATAATCTTATTGTAACCATTATGAACCTCATAACCCTGATTTTGAACCTCGTGACCCTTATAACCCTTATGATAACCTTATTATAACCATTATGGCCCTCATGGCCCTGATTTTGAACCTCGTGACCCTTATGACCATTATTTTGAGCCTCATGACCCTTAATTGTAGAGTTTTAATTTCGCGTACCAAAATTCATCACCAGAAGTTGATTTGAATTGTTATAATATAGAGAGATGATATTCGAGCAATATCTTTTACCCGCCGTTTAATCGATGATACATTATTTTTCATCACGCTGTGACGAAAAGTGAACGAAAAGTCCAATTTCCGCCACATTGTGATGAAAAATATTGTTCGTAACTCGTGAAAAAATGTTTTTTAGCTCGTGGGATTATATCACGAGCCGAAGGCCCGAAATATACTATTTTTTCACACACCAAAAGCACGGAAAATTGCTCCCTGAAGTACTGATTACTTTTCACCCCAAATGGAGAACTTTGACGACTTTCAACTTGGGATACCATTTAATTCGAAATGAGAGGAATCATGGCCTGATTCAATCACCGCAGAGGAACCTCATATCGAGACAAGTCACCCTTGGAGCAACCCCCCAACCACCTCCTCGTCCTCCGAACCCCTTCATCAAAGCAGCCTCTTTATTCTCACAGCCTCTCAATGCTGAGAACCGATACAATAGCGAGTCATTGAATCGGAGAGGAGACCTGTCATAGGCAAATAACCATTGAAGCTGAACTACAACCTCTATATAGAATAGTAACTCTTGTGAGCGATCATTTTTTCGTACATTGAAGAGATAATATGCATTCGAATGTCAAACAAACAATTCAACTCGACGTCAAAAAAATTTGAAAGTCCGTAATTTATTGAACATTCAACACTTGAAGATGTTTTCCTTTTTTACTATACGAGGACTATTGCAATATGACTTTGATATTTTTCCCGTTAATGATCATTAAAATATCTCTTTCTTTAATTTCCTGACTAACAAACGAAATAATTTTCAAGTTGAAATCGTCCAATCGTTGAATTTTTAAATAAGTCACTGGACAAATATTTTATAATTCACAATATTTGTTTTTACGTACCTATATAAGGGCGTATGCACTGATAGTAAATGACCGATTATGGAGCCATTGAGTTAATGTTGAATTTTGCAACGCTCACTCATAATTTTTCAATCACTCACGACTATTCAACACTGTCCTTTTGATATTCGGAAAGTTGGATTTTTATTCAATGTGTAGATAGATATTATTTTCGACTCACGTACGTCTGATCTAACGTCACCGCGTGTACTGGACGCAGCGGCATCAGTGGAGTTCATCGCCGGCTTGTTCATCCTTTTCACTCCTCTGTCGTTCGCATCATGATATTGCGCATGCGCCAATGCGTGGAAAGAGTTGAAATTTTCAGATTTTTCTTTTCCCTCTCCAATTTTTTCTGAACAACAACAGGATTTTAATTCATTTATTTTCCATATTCTTCGGTTAAATTAACATTTTATGTGTTGCCTCATTAGCACTTTTATCTGCAGCGCTAACTCGGTAATTATCAAACAGACTAGACTACCATCACGCAAAGCGTAAAGCTTTTCATGACGGATAGACGAAAGTCGCGTCGCAGCTTGTTTGTATCTAAATTAATCTTAACCAGGGTTGGGCAAGTATAATATCAGCGGTTATTTACCAAGTTTTCTACATGTAAAAAAGGTTAGACCTTTTTGACCGCATGTGTCGCCATCGTGCGTGATTGAAAACAATACGTCATGTGCAAGTCTTGCAAGGGTCACGCCTCGCAAGGGTCAAACAGGACAATCACAAGGTTCCAACGATAAGCGCAGGGAGGACAATCATAAGGGTCTAACGATCATGAGGGTAAAACAAAGAAGGAGAAAGGAAAATCGTCAAGGGTCTATCGTGAGCCTCACGAGGTATGACCCTTGCGATGTATGAACCTTGCAACATTGGCCCCTTGTGAGGTATGATCCTGTCGATATTTGACCCTCGCAAGGCATGATCCTTGCGAAATATGACCCTTGTGACGCTCGACCCTTGCAAGGCATGACCCTCACGACTGATAACCCTCGTGAAATTCAGTCACGAGCAACAGCCTCGCCATTCACAGATAAATTACCAGTATTCTACTGTATTTTCAGTAAACGACCCAACCCTGGTCCCAACTAATTAGTAACCCCTCACCGAATTGACAGCACTGTTATCATAAAATATACGAGTGGAATACGCTCCTTCAAAACCGTCGCGTTCAAATATTTTTCCGTCAATACCACATAGCTCGGGGTCCCTTCAAACTAAATACGGAATCGAAGAAAAAATTACGTAAAATAGGGAAAGCTCGTGAATTTCCTTCTCCCATTACTCCTCCGTCATAAAAGATATACCTGGGCTGGGGAGAGAGGCGTTAATTTGGAAAAAAAAGATCATGACAGATGGAAGAAAAGGTACGAGAAAGAGGTGAAAAAAACAAAAAAAATGAGAATAAGATGATGATAAAGGGTAGACTATCTGCGGCGATTTGCGAGGCATCAAGACCCGAGGTTGGAAAAGAACCCGCGGTTATACGTCTACGAGAGATTTTCTTTACCTCGTTTAACCGTATCTAGCCACAAAAGCATTTTCTTTTTCACAAACTGTTCTTATCCAAACAGCCGTTCAGATGACGTCATTACTGAAGTAACTGAGTAACAGAGGCTCCCGTGTATTATTCTCTTTTTGTTTTTTTTCTCTTTTAGCTTCCTTTTGTTCTCTTTTCTCTTTGTGGGTCGAGAAAATAAGATGAAAATGTGACAAGTTCTGAAAGGGAGTTTTAACGGGTCAGAAAATTCGGCATTGTTTTAGAGTTCTGAGGTTTTTATGTTAAGTAAGACTCCGCAATAGCCTCCGATAATTTTGCCATCTTATACGCACGAAAAAATTTAATAGAAAAACGTATCGAATTCGTTAGAAAATTCTATTGAATTTCTATTGAACTTTCTATTAGTTTTTGGCTGAGTCTATTGACATGTTCAATAGAAAAAAATTCAATAGAATAAGTTACACAGAAAAATTGAATTCTATTGACTTTTTCTACTGAATATTTTCTATTGAACATTTCAATAGAATCGGCCAAAAACGAATTGAACAGTTCAATAGAAATTCAATAGAATTTTCTACCAAATTCAATAGGTTTTTCTATTAAATTTTTTCGTCCGTGTACTAGTTCGTTGAGTGACATTTTATTGTTCTCTTTTTTTCCGACGAAGGGAACCAGAAATTTCCTGAACTTTTATTAATCAAATTTTTTGTTTCAATGTACCACAGATGATAATGAGAAAAACATTTCTCAAACACACACTTGTCAATATAAGAATTCTTATATTCGCTTCAGTAATGGCTTCTCCTTGTATTCTATAATATCGAACGAAATTTCTAGCTACCCATATATACCTATATATATATAAAGGCTGTTCCATGGATTTCCCTCGTGTATATCGACGAATTCTCTCCCTTCTTTTTTATTTCAAGAGAAATATTTTCACGTTCGATTGAACTGTAATTACGGGAGAAGATTAAAAAATTCTTAACATGCCGCAGGAGATTCCGAAGAATGGAAAAAAATCGACAATAACTGCTGAAAATTTCCAATTTATGTAATTGAGAATCCATGTGGACTATTTTTTAACTTTCGAGGTTGATCGAAAAAAAAAACTAGAAGTTAAATGAAATGTTGTGGTGATGATATTAGAGCGAGTGTGTAAAGTGGAATTGAAGAAAGACGATGGGTTTTTATGTTGATGTGTGTTACATACATTCATGCATTCGAGCTATACAGTACTTGGATGATACTCCTATCTCGTGTAAACACCCTATGGATCCTTCCTCCACATGCTGGAAGTACATTTTAATGATATTATAACTACGTCTAATCCCCAATCAAGAACTAATGAGTTTTCCGCCATATGGCAGAGCTAATAAAAATATTGCTAATAATTTTTTTCTCTTTGAGCTACTGATGTTGAAAAATAATTAATTCGGTACAAAATTCTATCACGTGTAAGGATAGTCTCCGTTCATTCTTATATTTAGGCTCTGTGCACTGAGTGAAAAACAAACATGTTGTCGGACAACTCTTGTTTGGGCCAACAAAATCGCTAGTTGAAAATTGTTAAAAAAGAATTTGTTTGGTTCGAATTTAAAAGTCTCAAACATGAATAAAATAAATATTAATTTGATTCAAATACTTTATTATCGCTTTGGGATGATAATAAACTCGAAAAAGATTGAATGAAAAACACAATAATTTTTAGGGGCTGTGCATACATCACGGAAGACATTTAGGCGAAGGGGGGGAGAAGAAATTGCTGCGCCATGGTTTCACTATCAGGGAGACGATGATGAAAGAAGGTCGTATAGACTAGAGTGAAAAGTGTAATCAAAAATAAAGAGCTCTTATCGTCCAGCCCACAAATATTGTTGGAACACACTTTTGGAATTTTTCCACAAAATACATGAAAATGTGATTTCCTTACAATACGAAAACTATTTATTTGAAATAAATAAATTGTTTGTTTAATATAATTAAATCCATTTTCTTGAAATAAGTAAACAAGTTTATTAATTTGTAAAAAAAATTATTCTTGAAATAAGTAAAAAATTTCAAATAATGTTATTTGATTTTTTTTAAAACATTTTTTTGGTGTAACGACGGGTTAATTGAATTACCTATGAATAACCTTGATTCTGCCCCCGCGCACTAAATATTTATTATGTTTACTGCAATATTATCGCTTGACGAAAAAATTCAACTTATTTTGACATTATGTTGAGAATGATAAAATTTTTATTCTTTGTACATGCAGAAGTACACAAGTCAATCAGTTTAGATTTGTGGGGGTTCTAACGATTGGCTCTCGTCGTTGCAAGCGATTGGGAAATTTCTATTCGGCAACCAAATCACGTTGAAATCGACCACACATGCCAAAAACATTTACTGTACATAGTACAACTGAGAGGGATAGAAAACGCCGGAGGTTGGAATGAATTTTCCATATATCGAAGTGGACCTAGTAAAATGGTTGAATGGTTTAACTCTGTTATATGTCGAATGAGCTCGCAATTTGTTTTATATCCGGGGTTGATGCTGCCTTCCAATTATACGTGAGTGTTACAACATGTAGGAATGACATCATCACTAGCTAGATATCAGGAATTTCCGGCGATCTACTCGAATATCTGAAGAGCCGCAAGGGCAGTAGCATGTGGAAAAATTTATATCGGGCAAGTAGTGGCAGTAATGGTCACGCGGGTAGCGCACGGCTCCGGCGGTCGTCCCAGCTAAGCAGCGTTTAGTCTGATCAGGGAGCCTATTCTCGAATTGAAATCGTACCACGAGTCGCATACGACCTATCGAAATCGAACGCACGATTTCAACTCGAGAATAGGCTCCCAGTACTTGGATAGGTGTCCGCTTAGCCCTACCTCTCCGCGTGTGACTAGCGGCGCTAGGCACGAATGTAGAGACCTACCTTTGCCCATCGAGTCAGTGTGACCGATAGCCACAATAGAAATTATTTTTCCCCTCCCTAAAACTTCGAATTATTGTGAAATTAATTATTAACTGACAATCAAGTATTACCATAATGCAAAGACTGTTCTCCATATCAAGTATTAACTGGATAGATTTACAATAATTAAAACGTTACTAATGTGACTCATAATTTCATTCGTTGATTCACGATATTGAAGTACAATTACATTCTTTCTATTTCTTTCTAAATTCTTGCAACTATTGTTGTGCTTTTTTTTACATCCATGCAAATTCAAAAACATTTTTTTCAAGCACTAAATATTGATATTGTTTACAATAAATAACGTATCAATCTCAAAGAGGAATATTATATCATTAAAACAATTAAAATAATAATTAGATATAAAATAAACTCGAGAGCCTCTCCTGGCCAAATGTTTATACGCTCTATTAAATAACGTTCTTAGAACTTTTTTTTTATGCTAGATTTTAAGGTTTGTAAATATTGCAAATACTGACTGATATTCTTGTATAAAAACATGGTTAAACAAAAAAAACCGATGGTCACAATAGGATCCCTGCAATATCGGCCGGCTGCACGACTGAGGTTTTCCATGGTTTCCCTGGCAGTCCTTGTCCGAATGGGTGCAGTTGGGGAAAAGTAAGTCGGCCATGGTAACGCAGACAAGAGGATGGGAACAAAATGTAAGGACCCGAGAGGGTATACATATGGATGAATAAATAAATAAATAA